AAAAAGAATTTATTTGTATTCTGTTGCAGAAATTATATGTCCTCTTGAATGTGATCATTCATATGTTTATCAATTTCCTTCTCTGAGGTACATAGAATATGAAGTATCAGGAAACAACCCATCTTTTGACCACCTCGCCAAGTATTGTCACTCAATTATCTTAGAAAATTCCCTCATTCAAAAGTCCATATTTATAATAATTCAATTTCAACCCTAAATTTATAAGTTTAGGCCATTTAAGTTAATCATTACAGTGCAAAGCTAAAATATGAGGAAGTCACTTAAAGTCACAGAAACGGTCTTTACTAAGAACATCTGTATAACATTTTTTTAATTTTTTTTTAGTTATACATGGACAAAATATCTTTTTTTAAAATTTTTATTGTTGGTTGTTCAAAACATTACATAGTTCTTGATGACGAATGAATAAAAAAATGTGGCATTTATACACAATGGAGTATTACTCTGCATTAAAAAATGACAAAATCATAGAATTTGCAGGGAAATGTATGGCATTAGAGCAGATTATGCTAAGTGAAGCTATCCAATCCCTAAAAAACAAATGCCAAATGTCTTCTTTGATATAAGGAGAGTAACTAAGAACAGAGTAGGGATGAAGACCATGAGAAGAAGATTAACATTAAACAGGGATGAGAGGTGGGAGGGAAAGGGAGAGAGAAGGGAAATTGCATGGAAATGGAAGGAAACCCTCAGGGTTATACAAAATTACATACAAGAGGAAGTGAGGGGAAAGGGAAAATAATACAAAGGGGAGAAATGAATTACAGTAGAGGGGGTAGAGAGAGAAGAGGGGAGGGGAGGGGAGGGGGGATAGTAGAGGATAGGAAAGGCAGTAGAATACAACAGACACTAGTATGGCAATATGTAAATCAATGGATGTGTAACTGATGTGATTCTGCAATCTGTATACGGGGTAAAAATGGGAGTTCATAACCCACTTGAATCAAAGTGGACAAAATATCTTTATTTTGTTTATTTATTTGTATGTGGTACTGAGGATCAAACCCAGTGCCTCACATGTTCAAGGCAAGTGCTTTCCACTGAGCCACAACCCAAGCCTCAGTACCATAACAAAAATATTTCATTTCTCATTGGAAAACTGTATGAATATTCTCTTAACAGCCAGTGCAGCTCATTATAGAATAACATTATCACATGTGAGCCCATTTCTCTGTCATGAACTTTGAGGTTACTTGCACAGAGTTAAGTGCAATTTAATTCTATAAGGGTTCTGTCAAGATCTTTCACAATAAAACACAATGAAGAAAATTGCTGATCACCATCTGCATGTGCAAATAAAGCTGTGTATGGGCTGTCATTCAATTGCAGCTTATTTATTAATAGAGCAATGCCTTTCTTAGTTGTATATATATTTCTCCCTTGGTAATAATCTCAACGTACTTTTATCAGTCTTTATTACAGATTACAGATTGTAGAAAATAGTTAAGGAAACTTCTGATCTTTTTTTAAGCATGCATTTTAAATTTTAAAACATAAAATTTCATCAAATTATTCTCTTTATATAAGTGCTGCACATATTCCAGGAGCTGATTCAGTAGTTTCACCCAAATGTTAAGCAAAATATGGGATTACCTCAACATATAATAATAACTACTGTTGCATTTACATAAGGAAATAAAAAATCTTTGGCAAAAGCTTACAGTGCCTCATTTTTTTATCATAACTTGTGTTACACATTTTTTTAAGGAATGGTCCTGTATCTGGTTTTGCTCCAGTGAATGCAACTAAGAAAACACTTTAAAGTATTAACTAGCATGTGTTTCTGAAAACGTCAAAAAACTTGAACCACAAAAATTCCAAGCATTATTTGAATAGGAAACCAAACTTCAAAGGTTTCTTACTTGCACAACAGAGACCAGGAGAGAAAGTGTTCTTGGCTCAGTACAATTTAATTTTTAGATAGTCTTTGTCATACTTCCTAACTGCACTTTTCTTAACTAGCATTTGGTTCACCTATCTCACAATATATATTCATATTTCATATTGTTGTTAAAGGACTTTTCACTAGATACATTAAGAAGATAATTTAGAATTATTTTATGTGTTGTCATTTTTGCTATTTCCCACAGTAAAGATAAAGCAACACAATAAGAATAACAAAGGCATCACCACACTTAACAAATAATTCCATGCAACTGGGATGAACTGTCAGGCAAGTTGAAGTGACCTTTCACGACTTCTGTATAACCTGCTTCTTTTAAAATTCCAAAATTGTTACTAAGAACATTATTGTGAACATAAATTTAATCTTAATGGTTCAAAGTTGCAAAACACAAGACAGATAAATTGTATCATGTGTTATTCCTTCTGGAACTTCTAGATTGCCTATAGATTGGCTACAAACTTTCATGGACTATTGATGGTATACATGCCTACCATACCTCAGGCAGGCTGTGTAAGATATAATGTTTATATAAAGTCCCCATATTTACTTACATTTGTACTCTCATTCTCTTTTTCATTAACATACTCCCAAAAGAAAAAAAAGCCTCTGTGCTGATTTCAACAGATGTCTATATCACATTTACAAATCCAGTCCTAGATTCTCCCCCAACTTCACACTTAGAGGGTTGCAAGGCATCTCTAATGTCTGAAAGGCATCATCAATTTACTACATAGAGAACAGAGTTCTTGGAAGGTCTTCTCCAAAGCTCGATCCCCTCTGAAGAGTCCCATCTTATTATACCAATTGTCTTTGCTTTTTTCTTGTTTGTTTTGTTTTTGGTGCTGGGGATTGAGCCCAGGGTCTTGTGCTTGTGAGGCAAGCACTCTACCAACGGAGCTATATCCCCAGCCTTATTATACCAATTGTTCAAGCCCAAATCTGAGAATCAATTGAGTCTTTTCACCCTTCCATATGCTACAGATCTTATATATTAATAATTTCTGTTGATCCGCTCTCAAAAATATACTAGAATCTGAAAACTTCCAATACTCATAATGCTGCCATCTTGGTTCAACCTGCTATCATCTTGCTCTCTCTTGATCGCCTCATTATTTTTATTACTGGTTTCACTTTTGTCTAACACTGTACTGAAGGTTGTGTTCTGTATTCTCATAGTGGAAAGAGAGACCTTTCCAAAAAAACAATTTAGGTCAGGCCAAAACACTCCAACGGCTTCCTGTCATGCTTAAAATGGAGTTCAATGTTCTCACTATGGCCCGAGAGACCTTACGTGATCTGCTCTCCAGCTGCCTATGGAGCCTACCTTGAATTTTCCATTCCAGACATACTGGCTTTTGGAGTATTCCTTCCGTGCATTAAGATCATTCTTTTCTCTGGGTTTTGTACTTGAGGTTTCCTCTGCCTAGAACACTGTACTCCTTTGTATTTGCTCCTGTACTTCCATTAGTGTATTGTTTGTTTGTTTCTGACCACCCTAAACTTAATTCAGCCCTGTTGTCCTGGTTTGAGTCTCATCATTCTCTGGTATTGTAAAATTGTATGCTTATTTTTCACAACTTTCTCCCACTGGAATGCAAATTTCACTAATGCAGAGACTTTGAATTGGGTCACGAGCCATATAATCAGTGAGCAAATAAGTATATGATATCCTATCTTTTAGTTCTGTGGATAGCAGAATGCTACAACACAAAAGAGATGATAGAATCTCTAAAAAAGGAAAAGTTGGTTGCCAGATCTCAGGGGAATGGCACTCTGTGAAGAAAGAAAGAAGTGTAAAGGGAATTTAGCCTTGGTTCTCACAGTCACAGTGATCACAGGAGTTAGTGAGGCCACCCATGGGGTTTCTAGATATCTTATACCTTTCCCACTGAGGGAAAGCCAATGGCAGAGAATTCATATGCTTTGAGAAACTTCCTTTCAGCCTTTGATCAATTCAAAGGTTAAAAAATTAGACATGTAATTATGGTTGGTTGCTTACTCAAGCTGTGTTCTGTATTAACAAAAATTAAATAGTGAACAACTTCACCTGATAAAGTTGAATTCCAGCAACGTCTAAATGTTAACTGTATTGGCTAGGCTACACTTTAAATCTGTAGAGTTTTATATGCCTCTCTGAGTCTTGCATCCTCTGAGTATTCATAAACTAGAATTGTTGAAAATGTACATTAACCACAAGTAAAATTGCAAAGAGGAAGAATACAATGATACATCCATGAAAGGCATAAGCTGTATGCTACAACAAATTCTCTAAATAGTCAATGGGTTCATATGGCTTTGAGGAGGATGATGATAGGTTCTTCATTACTGGGAACTTCTAGGAGGTCAAATATGACAGATTTATGGGTTTTGGTTCTGATTAATGAAATATCATTTAGTTTTTAATGGCCAAGGGGTTACTGAATGAAAAAATACAACTGACATATTTCAAGGGGGGTTTTCTTATGAAAACAGTTTAATAGTCAATTCCACTATGAGTCAATACAAAATTCAAATAGACATTTCAGCACATTTGTTTCACCTCACTCTTCTTGAAACTGTTAGTAGCCAGGAAAACATTACAAAGGTTTACTATAGAGGCATACCAGCCTGTTTGAATATTTTCCATAATTGTACTAGACAGTAATATTTGGGTAACTAAAACTTTAGTCAATAGGAGTTTACTCTATCAGATTTACCTATGAAAGACTTAGTTGAGTGTTCTCTTAAGAAAATCTCAGCTCTCATTAACTGTGACTGTTTCTACCTGAATTTCTGGTGGCTTCACATGAGTGCTAAATAGTATAGACTACATGGAACACTTCTATTGCAGCAGACCTTTCTCTGGTACCAGAAGATCAACATTTGGTTTTAGATAAATGTATAAATCCTGGATGGATCTAATTTAAGAATTTAGCAGACTAAATTATATTTTATCATCTGTCCAAGGATCTAAAAACAGGCAGTAAAGATGTAGTTCTAATCTTAACAATTTCAACCAAGTGTGTGGAAAAACCATGTTTTCTATTTAGAATACATATGGCTGAATATAGTTATTAAAATCTTAGTGTCCTACCTCTCGGATTGCTGTACAAAACTCACTCTGAAGCACTTTTTTGAGAGACTGTAGCTTGTGTACTGGTACTTCTCCAGATTCCTGTAGTTTTTCCAGTAATTCAATTGCTCTTGCAACATCTGGGTGAAAAAATAAATACATAAATAAAAATGGAGAGACCTAGAATAAACTGTATCTCATCAGCAAAGTACCATGATTTCAATTGAATGGTGACATTATTCCAATTGAAAACCACATAAAATTAATTGCAAAATCAGAACTTGTAACTCAGAGATTATTGTTTTATTTTTTGGTGAAAATCCAATTTAATCTGTTCCAGATAATTTGTTACTTACTATATCTTCTAGGATGGCATTTCATGTATGTTAATTTTGTCAGAAAAATCAGTTTGAAAAAGAAGAAAGTACAGGAAAAATGTCTATTACTTAATCTGATACACCAATAACCATCTATGGTCCATTGCATCTATGAGATTTTTTTTCAGTCTGACTCTCCATACAATACTTTCATTGCAATTGCAATGTTACACTTATTAGTATGATCATTTGATTGATGTGCATTCACCTTCACTTATCTATGAACTCCTTTAATGAAGGAACTTGATGTAGTTTGTTTGCCATTGCATCCCCCAGAGTCTGGTATGAAACTATGAATAAATATTCGAGGAATAAATAAATTAATGGACTCTCCACTTCACCACCACTGCATTATTCCAGGTCCTTATTATCTCTTCTCAGTTTAACTGGAATGATTTCTTCTCCTCCAGCTTCTTCATATGGCCCACAAGTTTATTTCCCTAAAACAAACCTTTGATCATGTACTCATCTATCAACTTCAATAGTACAAAGCATAATAGTTTTCAATGTTTATATCACAGGTTAATGTTTCAAAATACATATAGTCTTTAGTTGCTTTAAAATCTAAAATCCCTATATTATTTCTTATTTTCAAGAGAAAATTATATAACAAAAGACTATTCAAAAATAATTATAGTGATCTCTTCCACCCTGTTTCTATGGACAACAACATCTCACTAAAATATCACTTAGGTTTTTAAGTAGTAGGACATGATATTTTCAATTTCTAGGTGACTGGTTCCATAAAGTATTACACATTCCAGCAGTCAGATTATAAATCCATCCATCCATCCATCCATCCATCCATCCATCCATCCAGTAATTTGCATTTCTATTATACTTGGCACCAAGCTTAAAAACAAACAACACTTCCTTTCTGAACCCACAGAACTCATGATCTAATAAGACTGGAATACATCAGCACAGCCACCAATAAAAACAAATTGTCCACTTCAGAATTTGGGTGAGGTTAACATAGCTGTATGTATATATTGAAGAAAATAAGCAAAAAGTGACTTTATCAAGACTCCCCTGCTGAAGTAGTTAGTTTGATTGCCAATTGTAGCCCAAAGTAGCACAAATCATGAAATCAATATAACACTGACAGTGTCTAAAGTTTGTCTGTTAGTACATAAATAGAAGACAACATAGTCAATTGGACAACACTGGTCACATCTACAATCAATATGGTACCAAGCTGAGATTTTTAAGCATTTCTAACTGCATAAAACACTTCACTCAGATGCCCCATAGGCACATAGAACACTCAGTATGTTTACAACTAAGCTCATTATTTTTTTTCCCTGAAATTATCTCTTCTCTTCCAATATTCTGTTTCCATTAATGGTATCCCCAAACAGCCTGTCTCCCAAACTAGACCATGACATCATCTTTCACACTTACCCCCACATGCAGTTTGTCAGCAAGTGCTGTAGATTCTACCTCAAAAATACCTTTTGAATGGAGCTCTTCCCCTTCATTAATTCAGAAAAGCCTTTATCATATCTCACTGTAGTACTAGCACATCTCCTAACTGAGCTCCTTTAAATTCATCTTTTTTTTTCAGTTCATCCTCTATGCTGCTTCTAAAGTAACTGTCCTGAATGATAAACCTAAATATTATTCGCCTGTACATAAAACCACATGCAATCCCACCTGCTACAGAATAAAGTTCGGATCACAGGGTTTTATAGGGGGCCCTCAGCAGCCTACTTCTTCTGACTCAGCTCTGTACACCTCCTCCTGTCTATCCTGTACTATGACCATCCAAAAATTTTGCTGTTCCTAGAACATGCCACAGAATGTCATGCCTCTATGGTTTGGCACATATTGCCCTCTGTTCATGGAATGCAATTCATCCCATCATTCATGTATGTCTTCATTCATTCAGTAGTTTTGGGTCCTGTGCTGTGCACAGGACACACAGTGGTAGAGGAGACAGTTCTTTCTCTTGATTTCATGGAGTATCCAGGCTTCAGAGTCACTGATGTGCAATAAAGATGTGCATGTTACAAACAAAGCACTGCTGGGTGGTCCGTGGATATATGACAAAGGCACATATCATCATTCAGGAAGTCAGAGAGAACTTCTTTGTGAAACTAATAGCTAAGCAAAATCCTAGATAGTAGGTAAAAGTGGGGAAAGGGCAACAATGTTCTAAGCAAAGGGGATAAACAAATACTGAAGGCTTGTTAAAAGACATTCAAAGAATAGGAAGAAATTCAATGTGATTGAACCTGAAGCCAGGGATAGTAGCAAGAGATGAAGTAGATGGAAATTGCATCATGGAGGGTATTTTAGTCTATGTAGGAATGACTTAGCTTAAATAGCATTTCTTTAAGCCTATCTTCACTGACTCTTCAAGGCAGATTGAGTTGCTATCATTACTGTGTTCCCAAGTTATTTGTTTACTTGTCCATTGTAATAATTATTACTTTCTGTTCCACCTCTATTTGCCTATCTGTCTCCCTCCTTCATTCCCATGAATCTATAAGCTCATTGAGGTGCCAGGAACAATGTCTTATTTGTCATTATCTCATTCATTGCAGAGTACCTGGCACATAATTAAATGTTTAATGTGCATTTGTTTGGTTAATGGTAGATTAATTAATGAGACTGGCTCAGGAAGGTATTAGAGGTCTATGTATGCATAAACCATAACTCCTCATGAATCTATATCTCCACACATCAGTATCAGCCTTGGTCAAGATTTGCTTGGGCATCATGTGAGAGAAGGAGGTAAGCCAGAACCTGTAGGCTGAAGGATACCAATGATGATAGTTCTCAGCAAATGCTATGCATTGAAATTACCTGGGGTGCATTTGTCAATTCCTGAGACCCATCCCAAAATAATTAACCTAGAATTTCCAGAAGAATGGTTTTCAACCTTTGCTGCATATTGGAATTACCTAGGGAGCTTTAAAACACACAGCTTCCTTATTCAGGCCCACCCCAGAGACTCCAATGTGACTGGCACAGGGTGGGAACTGGGAATGGGACTAAAGTGCAGCTGAGATTGAGACCACTGCTCTAAGCCAGCATGGGATTTGGGTTTTTTAAAAAACTCATATGTTATTCTAATGTACAGCCAGGATTCAGAACCTTTGCTACAGATTTATGGTTCTAAAACGTGAGTAGCGTGCCTATAGATCACTTGGGAAAGCTAACTAACCCTCCTAACCCTCCTCTCCATTTGAGAGATGTCAATTTAGGAGGAGTGAGAATAAGGCCTAGGTATCTTCTTTTTAAACTAATGCTTGAAGTGATTCTGTAATTGTTAGTTCACAGACCCCAAAGGAAAAAAAAAATGAACAAAATGATCTTTTAGGTTTCTTTCATCACCAGTACTCCTGGAACTCCTGCCCTTCATTATTATTTGATGTGATCTGTGAAAGAATACTGAATGGAATTTTTCCAGAAGTCTAAGAATTATTGATAAAATCTCACAGATGAAAGTGATGGAGATTGGGTACTACTCCATTCGAAAAAATTGGTTCTTACCAAAGACCAATCAGTGGACTCACCTGAGACATTTTTTAAGTAGCGCATTACCCCAAGCCAATTAAACTGAAACCTCAAATTGTGGTATCCACTCCTTAGGTTTTCTTTCTAAGCTTCCAGATGATTCCTGTGGCCATCCAAGGCTGAGAAAAACATTGCTCTTAAAAGAGTCACCAGATACACCTCCATTAAGACATTAAAGCTGAGCTGATTTTGCTATAGTATACCCTGGGGTTTTTTTTAGTCCTTATAAGAGGCAGCTGGGAGATGAGATAGCATTTAAGGAGTACTGTCATTAATTTCAAATAGAGTACTAAGTGTTTACTTTCATTCCAACAACTAAGTGAGGAGGGTTCTGACAGAACTACTTGTAGTGAATGGGCAGTGCCTGAAAGAAGGGAGACTAGCATGTCTTTCCTGATTGCATAGGAAATTGTCCTGGGTGACCTGCGTGCTGCCCTCTATGTTCCTCTGAGCAGAAGGAGAGAACTAGATAGCAGCAGCCTGTAGATTGAAACTCTTTTATTGGTACCCACCCAAGGGAGGCTAGCAGTGAGGTCAAGGAAACAGGAAGACGAGGCACAGTGGTGCACACCTGTAATCCCAGCAACTCAGGAGTCTGAGGCAGGAAGATGGAAAGCTCTAGACCATCCTCAGCAATTTAGCGAGGCCCCCAGCAACTTAGTGAGACCCTGTCTCAAAATATAAAAGTGCTGGGGATGTGGCACTGCTGGGTTCAATCCTAGAATTCCCCGGATGTGCACAAAAAAGACAAATGAAATCTCAGAATCAAACATGGAAGAGGTCAGGGCCCTCTAGGCCAGGCCTGGGTGGAGCTGGGAACAAAAAGATGGTGAGTGATCAATGGATATGAGATTGGGGTTTTAAACAGAATGTGGATTCCCTTTAGCTCTGGACCAGAAAGCTTCATGACCAGAATCTGGAAGGAAAAAGAAGCAGCTTTTGTGTCACCACAATACTTAAACAACTACAATACAGGATGTATGGTTTATTTTTAAGAGACCCCCTCCCCCCCCCAGGGAGGGTTCTTCTTCAGAACCCCCTTATGCTTATTTTGTAAAACCCTTCTGACAAGTTTGGTTGCTAACATAGTAGTTTGGGGTTTACTAGTCTAGCTCAGATAAGGATGAATATTAGGTAAAACTCGGGAGACTGGCAAACAAAGATAATAAGCGCAAGAAAACCATGGGATTTTTTTCCCCCTGAAGCCTATTCTTCACCTTACCTTAACTCTCTAATTA